AAGCCTTTGTGTATAGTTATTCCTTCAGCTTGAAATTTCTTCTTTCCAGAGATCTAAATTCATAGGATTAGCTAGTCAGCTATCTGTCTATGACCTGTGTACCTCCTGGTAGACATGAATTTTGTCATAAATAAGTTCTACCTTGAGCACAAGCAGAATAATATTCCAAACTATAGTTGGTAGGGAAAGCAGAAAATTGAACAGAAATAGATGGGGTTAATGCTGAAGGTAACCAGGAAGAGTCCGATTTGACCTTGACTTCAAAGGAGGTGAGATGTAAGGTTTGGCTTTGGGGCAGAAGGAAATCGTTCCCACATAGATGGGGCAGAATTCTCCTATTAGGTGGAGAGCGGTGTCCACAGAGCAAAAGAACAAATAAATATCTTTGTGCTTCCTTTATTTATCCCCCAGAGCTGAAGGCGAGAGTAAAATCTGTTCAGCTCCCTCACCACTCCTCCCACCTCTGGCATCCTCCCACTCTCTTTTTTTTCTGTATGTGAGATCTCATTTCTTCCAGACCTCTGGTTCCAGCCCCCAAGAATACAAAGAAAGATCTGATGTTATTTTTTTCTTCATTTATCATTTCATTTTTTTATTTAGTCAATCAACACTTATTGACTACTGATGTGTTCCAGATATTTTACTAGACATTGGAAAGAGAAGGATGGAAGAGAAAGGTAAAAGAATAAATGGAATGTTTCCAATCTTTATGAGGAGACAATTTGGCAAATAATACATACTACAATCATGTTGGGCAGCTTATTTGGTTATTTTTCATTTGGGCCTTCCCATTCATTCTTCCTTCTTATCTTCCCTGCCTAATGCCTTAGGAGACTGACCCCTGCAGACAGCATCCTCTATTATCCAGGCGCCTTTGCCCTCTGCCTTTAGTTGGGTTCAGCCAGTGGGAGGCATGAGCAAAATATTGAAGAGAAATAGGAGAAAGAGACCAAAGTATTTATTCCTTCTGCTTTTTATCTGCTTTGTGCTATAATCTAACATTGGCTTCATCCTTCCAGTGCAACGCTCACTCTACCTCCAACACTCAGGTTCTTAAAAGAGGCTATTACCATAAACTGCTGCAGGGACAACACGGTGATCAGAGTGTTTAACCTGCAATGGTGGTGGTTCATTTATCATGGGTACTTAAGAACGAAGTAGATGAACAGCATTCTAAACTACAGCTTGATTTAAGCAATCGGAAAAATTCTAGGTCTGGAGCAGAAATCTCATTTAAGTTGCCACAATAGAAATTCATAGCCTTTCATCAAGTTTCCAGGCTCAAACCAGTTCATAGACCCAGAATGCCTTGTTTCAAATCTTTTAGAGGAAGGAGCCTGCAATGCTGTCACAGTACATACCTTAAATCTTCTTTCAAGTCTTCCTTAGAAGGACACGTGGCATACAGCTAAGTTTGAAAATGCCCTGTGAAAAGAGATATGCCCAGCCCTCCCAAGAGTTATTAAATACTAGCTAGAGGTTTGCACTAATTTCTATAGAGTTAAAACATCACTGTGATGCAGTGGTGTATTAGTTTCCTATTGCTGCTGCAACAAATTACTACAAATCTAGTGACTTGAAACAACACAAATGTATTATCTTATAGTTCTACAGGTCAGAAGTCTGAAATGGGTCCTACTGAGCTAAAGTCAAGGTGACATCAGAGCTGTGTTCCTTCTAGAGGCTCGGGGGGGAAATTCATTTCCTTGCTTTTTCCAGCTTCTAGAGTCTGCCTGCATTTCTTGGCTCATTTATCTCCTGAGGCATGGAGAGAGATTATGGTATATAAAGGCCAAGTGGAAGGTCCTTCCCCACCCATATGATAAACTAAAAGTAATCCTGAATCCTTGGGCAAGTACAGAGATTATTATCACTATTTAAGAACTTGAAAAATGCAGGCGTGCTGGTTCCCATCCTATGCTCAATTAACTTTCTTGTTCAGTCTGTGCAAAAGTAAGATGGATTACGGAAAATAATTATGGATCAATCTCAGCTGCCGTTTCCAGTGTGGTAACTTTACTGGATCAAACAATACAGTCCTAGTATCTGGAGCTATTAACCTAAAGAACACTTTCTTAAAAAAAAACTATATAATAAGGATAATAAGAGTTTACCTTTACTTGGAAGGGTCAGGAGTGTATTTTTACCACCTTACTTCAGGGCTATGTCACCTCTCTCTCTCTCTGTCATAGTATAGTCTCCTGGGACCTTGATCATCTCGATATCCCATAGAACATCACATTAGTCCATTACATTAGTGACATTATGCTAATTGGACCTCAAGTACAGTAAGTAGCAAGTTCCTTACATGCTTTAATAAGACAAATGTGACCACAGAATAGAGGATAAATCCCATGAAAATTATGCAAAGTTTCAAGGCAGTCAGCGGTCTGGAGCACGTCAGGATATTCCCTCGAAAGTAAAAGATAAGTTGCTACACTTTGCATGCCCACCACGAAGGGGAACAATGTTTCTCAGAACTCTGTGGATTTTGGAGGCACCATATTCCACAACCAGATGTGCTTCTCCAACCCATTTGCTCAGCAGCCTCTAAAGTTGTCTGTTTTGAATGGAGCCTAGAGCAAGAGAGGGCTCCCCAGGTCTAGGCTATAGTGCAAGCTGCCCTGATACTTGCATCTTAATGACCTACTGGACACAATAGTTATCAATAGTTATTAGAAGTGTTGGTGGCAGCCAGAGGGAATGTACAAAGCCTCTGGCAAGCCCAAATAGAAGAATCACAGAGAAAATGCCTAGGGTTTGTAGAACAAAGCCATGCCCTTTTTACTAATTTTATTGGTTATCTATTGATGTATAATAAAATACCCCAAAACGTTGGGGCCCATCTTAGATGCTGGCTACAACAGTCAACGACTATTCACTGTATGAAAATCAGCCTCGCTCTTTCTACACAGCCCTGGTAGAGAATGAAAGCATTAGTTTTCTAAGGCTACCGTAACCAGGTAGCACAAACTCGGTGGCTTAAACAACAGAAATTTATTGCATCACAATTCTGGAGGCTGCAAGTCTGAAATCAGCAGGGTTGCTTCCTTCTGAGGGCTGTGAGGGAAGGATCTGTTTCAAGCTTCTCTCCTTGGCTTGTAGATGGTCATCTTCTCCCCGTGTCACATCCTCTCCTCTCTGTGTGTGTCAGTCTCTGTGTCCAAATTTCCCCTTTTTATAAGGACACCAACAATATTAGATTAGAGCCCATCTTAATGACTTCTTTTTAATCTGATGATTTCTCTAAAGATCCTAACTCCAAATAAGGACATTTTCTGAAATACTGGGAATTAGGACTCCAATGTTTCTTTTTTGGAGGGGGCACAATTCAACGCATAACACCAACTATACAACCTGAGCTACCTATAATTAACTGGCCATTACCTGATCCACCAAATGATGAAGTGGGGTATATTCAGTGGTATCCCATTATTAAGTGAAAATAGTATCTGTAAGATATAGCAGATGAGTACAAGAGGTCCAGAAGGCACAAAACAATCGCATGAGCAGAGAACTTAGACTCCATGGTGTCTTCTCCCACTGCTTCAATGTCTTTCCCTCAACACACACCTATAGCTTCATGGGGAGTTCCCTATAACCAGATAACAAAGGAGGGAAAAGAGTCAGCCTTATGCAAAGTAAGCTGGTACCAGTTATAAGTGGATTGCTGCTGCATCACGGCCCTATTCAGGAATGCCCAGAAATACAGTAGAAAGAGAAATCTTCATAACAGACAAAACTTTGAGTAGTACATCTGTTTTTCCATTTTGCATAGAAAGAGAGATGGCCTGATATAAAATCTATACTGACTCATGGATGGCAGCTAATGTGTTGGCCAGCTGGCTCTTTAGGGACTTGGAAAAAACAAGATTGAAAGACTGGTGACAAAGAGGTCAGGGTAGGAGAGATTTGGGAAAGTATCTCTTAAAGTAGGCAAAGTGTGAAGATAATTGTGTCTCATGGAATGCCCTCCAGAGAACAAGATGATCTATCCCATTTCATCATCATATGACATATCCTACGTCAGTGAACCTCCCCCCAGCTTCCCCAGGGCCTGCAGAATGTACAGTGCCACGGTGCAGGCCTGGAGGTTAAGCATGGGCCCAAGTGCATAGATTTCCCTCTCCAAGGCTGATGTCACTTGTGGCTTCCCTCCTTCATTGCCGAGTGTACAACCTGGTGAGAGCAGAGGCCAACACTGAGCCCCCAGTATGGCACCATTCCCTGTAGTTCTTGCTGGATGTCCTCTCTTCACAGCTCCAGCGCACAGACTCCAGTAACACTATTGACTCACCTTCCCCAGCAGTTGGAAGAGGGAGAGGGGGATGAATTTGAGAGACACTTGTAAAGGTAGAGTTGAGAGGAAACGCTGGCTAAGTAAATGGAGGAGAGTGAGGAAAAACAATCTAAGATGACTGAAGTTTTCAGTTTTTGTGAATGGTGAATAGAGACACTTTTAATGAAGACAGAGATGATCAGAGAAGGGTAGGTGAGGCAAGGCTGATGGAGGAGATGAAGTTTGAGTCTCTGGAGGTGGGTGTGGGTGAGCATATGTATGTATCATAAGCAATTGATGGTCAAAAGAGAAAAAGATCCCTGAATTCAGAAGCAAAGTCTGGACTGGAGATAAAGGATGGAAATTTGAATTTACTCATAATCATGCATTAACACCCCGTAGGACTTTGCATTTTTAATCTTTTACCTCTAACTATGGACAGAGGCTTTGCTTTTCAGCTGCAGTGAGCAAGCTGAAGAGGCCTTGTAGGAGGTAGGAGTACTTAGTGAGGAAGTAAGCTTAGAGGGCCCCTAAACGCAAATGTTTCCCTGTGTATTTTACACTGAAAGTGTCGAGTGCACAGACCTCATCTGTCTTGTCCCACTTCTGGATCCCCAGCATCTAGAAGGGAATCTGGTACACTGTTGCCACTCCAGTATCTATGGAATGGGTAGAATAAACGGGAGGATGTGGGGATGAAGGAATGAACGAACAAACCTACAGGACATAATGAGGAACTGGGGGAAGAAGAAGCCACACTTGACCTTTATCTCTTCTCCAAATCCTCTTTGCAAGACTGAAAGACGAGGGGCCACATGGAGTAGTGGTTAAGAGCATGGACTCTGAATTCAGGGTCCAGGACTTCCTAGCTTCTGACTTGGCCAAGTGACTTAAGCTCTCTGTACCTAGGCTTCCTTCCTGTAAAATAAACACAATAAATGCTTAGAGCAACACCTGGGGAAAAGTTCCACATTAGTGTTAGTGTTGTTATTTTTGCCATCTTGAGAAGGTAAACCTACAAAACACGTCAGAAATTCCCTGCGGACGGTGAGTCCAGATACTCCGCCCCTAAATGCCACTCATAAGTGAACAATCACCTTTTCTCTCTCTTTGCCTTCCAGACACCCCACTTTCCCCCAACATACCTTTCACTGGCAAGAGGCCGAGGCCTGGGTTCAAGCTCCAGCTGCCAGCAGTGAGCTGTGTGAGTTTGCAGAGCCCCACGCCCACTCTGGTCTCAGCTGCCTGTCCGCGCTAAGTTGCAGGAGCTGAGAGGGAAAGTCCCTTTCAGCTAGGACAGACACGGCCCCCGCGTCGGCTGCCTCGGGTCTCCGCGTGGGATGCCGGGCAACGGCTCACCCAGCTCGTCCTCTCGCAACCCCACCCCGCGCGTCCCCGGGGCCCCGCGCCCCGCGCGCCCCGCACAGCAGGGAGGAGGCGCCTCTCGGGCGCCCCCCGGCCGGGATGCCAGTGCCCAGTGCCCCGCGCCTTCTCCCGCGCCGCTCGCGCCCCTTCATCCGAGCGGGCTGGGCGCTCACTAATGTTTAACTCGGGCCGCAACTCGGGAGCGCCGAGTGACTCGGCGCCCGCAGCAGCCGAGCTGGCCGCGCGTCCCGGCGCCGCGCCTGCCTTCTGCCTGCGCTCCGGCCCGCGCGCTCAGTGCCGCCGAGACGCCGACCATGAAGGTGAGTGAGCGGCGCGCCTCCCGCCCTCCCAGCCCCAGGGGCGAGCGGTAGGTGCTGCTTCTCCAAACCCTCCTTAAATTGCCCCAAAAGCTCGCAGAACAGGACCAGGGACTCCCATTAGGCGGAGGCTCTAGGGCCACCCTCTGACAGGTGAAAGGACGTCCCAGAGCTCTCAGCTCTCGGCCCCGCGGGGTTTCTGCTAGAAACCCAGTCGCCGAGCTTTGGAGGACCCCTAGAGCCACCCAAAAAAACGCACGCCCGAGCCCTCACTTGGCTTTTGACCTGCAGGCGTAGAGCAGCAAACACTACTGCGCTCAGAAGCCACAAGTTCAAGGGCAAACCGCTCCTGCAACCTCCGACTGGCGCGCTCAAACCCTCCCAGCCCACTGTGCCCCTCTTCCAATGCGTGCCCATTGGCAAATCCTGCTACCTCAAGTGCAACCCAGGCCCCGACCCTCTTACCCAGACTGGGGCCAGACGGCTTGTTCTAACTGAACATGATCTGACCGGCTTGCAGACAGTGTGGAAGGTGCTCCTGGGACTGCTGGGGACTGCTGTGCTGGTCACCGTCATCACCGTGCCCGTGGTTCTGCTGAGCAAAGGCAGTAAGTTTGAAACTTTTGAAAAAGATAAGACAGTTGGAGACCGGGGTCAGGTTCTGTCTTAGCACCCTGAGGACAACTGGAGCTGCTGCTGGGGGCTTGGACCAGCGCACCAGGTTGTGGCTGAGGCTTCCCAGGCGTTGTCGCTGCTTCGAGTGTAGCAGCTGGATTCACTTTACCAGGTCTCTAGAGGTTAGGCTGCGAGCCTTGCAGCAGCCACTTTTTATGTAAAACATACATGATTCCTGAAATTAGGGGAAAGTCTTAGGATTTCTTTTTATTAAACTTAAATTGAATACGTATTAAATTCAAATTAAATTTTTAAAAAACGTTTGCGGTTATGATCTTCAGAGGAAAAGAGACAGTGTTTAAAGATCCCACACAGCAGTAAAGATGGCTTAAGGGGAGGGAAAATATAAGAAAGAAAGCCCCAAAGTACAGTTTTGAGGACCCAGTGGTTTTCCTTCAGGGGTGATGAAAATTCATCAATTTGAGAGTTGGGATGCAGGGAAATAACTATTTAGAAGTAAGTATTGCAGAGCTAAATCATCGCATTAATGTTCAGAGGGAGGTGGGATCAGTGATGTTTTGTGGATTCTTTCATAGAAAACCCCCTTCATTTCTTTTACCTTGCCTAACTTCCACTTTAGCCCAAGCTCTGAATATAAAACATTCACATTATGGGATAAACACTACTGGAGGCAAGCAAGTGAGAATAACTAGTCTGGGTCTCCTCTGGCCCGACTTTCTTTTTAAATATTTACTTTCATTTCAGTATTACACACTCTGGCAGCCTACTGAAGCATTGTCTCTGGATGGTCTAGCCAACCAGGAAATGCGTAGACAGTGCTTACGTACTGAGGGGTCTTATCCAGATTTCAAGGTGACAGTTTGGGATTCGTTTGTAGAGCTCTCAAAAACCACATTTGCCTCGCCGTTTCAGGGCCAGGGCAAAGATGCCAAAGGTTAAATAACTGAGTGGGCTGACTTATTGATAATGACTTCTGGTTACTTAAGAAAGTAATGGTTACCATCATTTTGGACTATTAAATGGCAGGCATCAGTCCACTTACATTTGACTCTTTCTGGTGAACTGTTAAAATGTAACTGTTTTCATAAAGTGATATTTTGTATATTTAAACAACCACACACACAAAGCCTTGTTGTGGGAAAAGGATGGGTCATCCATACAATCAGAATTCACATGGCTTACATTATGTTCCAGGCACTGTGCTAGTTGCTGCAAATACAAAGATTAAATTTTATAAATATAAAGGTCCTTGACCTCAAGAAGTTTATAGTTTAGTGGGAAACAGATATACAAATGAACCAAAGTAACCTGGATAGCCCGTTTATCTCTAGAACATCACGGAGGCACCACAGCATCCCTGGAAGGATGGATAAAACTGTACTTATTGGAACTTTAGTTAAGGAAAATTGGAAGGAACACTGAACTTTGATAAGCCACTTGAGATGGACAGCGACATGGCCAGGAGCCTGGGTCATGCAACTGCCTTCCCTGGGGTTTGGTCAAGTTAACTACAGGGATTTTCTTTTACTGGGTGGAGCACACAGACTGGGGAGGGCCTGTCTTGACATTTCCCTTAAATAGCACTTAGTGTCTTCTCCAAATGAAATTTGAACAGATATTTCAAGAAAGTCCGCTTGGTGGGGACTTCCTAAGAGATTCTCACATCTCCATCTAACTATGGTTACAATTCAATGAGGTAATTTAGACAGGCTTGAGTAAACCTCCCTGGGGGTTAGAAGGATCACTTCTGGGAAAGTAGGGGAAGATTTCTCACAGAAATCTTGTAGATGATGGAGCATACTGGAGAATTTGGAGCACGCCTGCACAGTTGGGCATGACAGTGGAAGAGGGAGTTGAAGTGGCAAGGCTGGAAGGGAAGCCAGGGAAGTGTCCCAGAAGATTGATGGTGCAGAGCAGGATTTGGAGGCTATAGAGCAACTCAAATGTGAACCATTAGACTTTGGTAATTGGAAATGTAGGAAGTAAGGGGGAGGGTGGCTAAGGATGCCTATGGGGCAACTGGGTGGAGATGTGGTTTCATTGTGTGCTTTATTTACACTTACCACTAAGTTATTTCCTTCTCATATTTCTTAATTGACATGTGTGTATATTTGAGGAGAAAAGAGAAATCATCTTGTGTCAACTCCTCCCTTATCATAAGAGACAGAGATGAAAGTTCAAGAATGCAACATTTTCACTATATCAGCAATACCTTTCTTGGGCTGTGCCACAATAAAGAACAGCATTCTTACAAAGGATACAGAGTCATCACCCAAGAAATATACTCTAGATTGTCAGTCTAGGTTTAAAGTCAAACAAATACTGGGAAGGAAGAGAGGAAGGGAGGTGGGAGAGAGGAAATATAAATGGAAAGGAAAGGAAGGAAGAAAAGAAAAGAAAAGAAAGATTTTGATAGAAAAACAAAAGAAAGTCCTAGATTAAGTGGAAAGCGAAGAAATAAACAGTCAAAAGAAAGGAGGAGCAAATGAGCAAACCCAAGTTCATCTCCTGAGAAGTTGGTTTAAGACAAGGTCAAGTGTTTCCATATGGAACTCTGACTTTAGCAGGACTAGACCCACCCAGAGCTGGGGGAGAGAGAGAGAGACACTTAATACTATTGTCGTATTTTTTTTTAGAATAAAAACTCCTTGAGGTCAGGAGATAATTCATTTCATCAAGCAAAATTAAAAGTTCACCTCCTTCTATATATATAATAAAGGATTGTATTTTGTTTTAAATCCCTCAAATATCCTATTATAGAAGGATATTGCATATTTAAACATTCAGTTTCCCAAAGAATCAGCAGTAAAATATATAAAAATATTTTATTCTTAGTGGAATTATAGAAATCCTCATGGCTCAGTGGTAATAAAACCTCCTCGCTCAGTATTTGTGTGACTTTTATCTCCTTCTTTACATTATATCGTAGGCTGAGTTTTTGAAATATTTGGCAAATAATTTTATTATTGAGTTCTGTTATTTGTCAATGGTTTTATTGTTGAGTTTTGTTAGTTGCCAAATAGTTTTATTATTGAGTTTTATTTTGGGATAGAAACGTATCTGTTGTTTTTTTGTTCTTTTCAATGCTTTAGCAGTAAATTTTCTCAATACCTTCTTTCAGCGCATAGGAAATTTGACTGCTCACCCATTTTTGAGTAATAAAAGAAAACCCAAATGTGAAGAAGACAGGAATAATCAGAGAAAGAAAAGATAACATCTGTGAAGTTTGCCTGAGGAAATCCAGGATCTATTCCAGATTTAAAAGCACAGAAATGAGCCTGAATGAAAGCTTTGTATATTTCTGAGGACAATTTCTAAACAGTGTGCTCTGTAAAGGCTCGAGTTGACTCCAGCTAGCTCAGTTAACTATTATCAACCTTTGTCAAGGTCTCGTGAGGTCACTGGGTTGGTCTTTTTCAGGCCAGCTATTTTGGTTTTTGGTTCCCTGGGCATAGCATATGCCTTAAATTTCCCTCTCTTAGACATTTTGCCTCTCATCACCAAAGAGATCAGAGAGAAAAAGAGAAGACTGTTTGCCCAATTGATAATTAGAGAAAGACAATGTAAAGGGACTGACTAGAGCCAGATAGGTATCCTTGAAATGTTACAACTTAACAAAATGCTGATGCCTACTGAGAATGTGACTATAACATGCAGGACCACCCTGCTTGTGGAAGAGAAGATACACAAGGATGCAATAATAGCCAACATGTATTCCCTCTGTGCCAGGTATTGGGCTAAGGACTTTCAGTATATTTCTCATTTGATCCTTACACAACTCTTTGAGACACATACTATTATCATCTCCATTTTTACAGTTTACAGAAACTTTGAGAGGATGTTTTAGTTATTTATTACTGCGCAATGAATTACCCCAAAACTTAAAACAATAAGCATTTGTTATCTCATGGTTTCTGTGGGTTAGGAATTTGGCAGCGGCTTAACTGTGTGGTTCTGGCTCAAGGTCTCATGAGGTTGCAGTCAAGATGTCATCTGAAAGCTTAACTGGGGCTGGGAGATCCACTTCCAAGCTCTCTCACATGGCTCTTGGCTAGAGGCCTCAATTCCCCAACATATGGGCTTTTCCATAGAATGCCATGGCCACTGGCTTCCCTTAGAATGAAGGATCCAAGAGAGCAACTAAGTAGGAAGCCACAGTACCTTTTATGCCCTAGCCTCAGAAGTGATGTGCCATTACTTCTCCTGTATTCTGTTGGTCACAGAAACCAATCCAGATACAGTGTGAGAGAGTACTACAAAACGGCATGAATACTAGGGGTGAAGGTCGTTAGGGGTCATTTTGGAGGCTGGCTACCAAAGAAGATAAGGAACTTGATTTAAGTTCCACAGAGTTAGGATTCACACTCCAGCAGTGTGATGCTAGAGCTGGTGCTCTTAAACGCTAAATAATCCTGTAAGCTTGTTGTAATCAAGTGTAAAATTAATGTGCCCCTCATGAAAAGATGCTGAACATCACTAATCATCAGGGAAATGTAAATCAAAACCACAATGAGATATCACCTCACACATATCAAAATGGCTATTACCAAAAAGACAAGAAATAACAAGTGCTGGCAAGGATGTGGAGAAAAGGGAAACCTTGTATACTATTGGTGAGAATGTAAACTGGCACAACCACTATGGAAAACAGCCTGGAGTTGCTCCAAAAGTTAAAAATAGAACTACCATACAATCCAGCAATTCCACTTCTGGCTACTTATCCAAAGAAAGCAAAAACATTAATTCAAAAAGATATATGCACCACTATGTTAATTACAGCATTATTTACAGAAGGCAAGATATGGAAGCAACCTAACTGTCCATTGATAGATGAGAAAATGTGATATACATACATAATAAACTATTCCTCAGCCATAAAAAAGAATGAAATCTTTCCATTTGCAACAACATGAATGGACCTAGAGGATATTATGCTAAGTGAAATTAGTCAGACAGAGAAAGACAAGTATGC